TCTCAACCGCACATACATCAAGCATGAAAGAGAGGGACGCGGCATCACGACCCGTCACTAGTTCAAGGCAAGAGACAGAAGTAGCTCGGCGGGAAGAGATGGCGATCATGACCCGTCACTAGTACAAGGCAAGAGACAAAGGTAGCTCGGCGGGAAGAGATGGTGATCCTGACCCGTCACTAGTACAAGGCAAGAGACAAAGGTAGCTCGGCGGGAAGAGATGGCGATCCTGACCCGTCACTAGTACAAGGCAAGAGACAAAGGTAGCTCGGCGGGAAGAGATGGCGATCATGACCCGTCACTAGTACAAGGCAAGAGACAAAGGTAGCTCGGCGGGCACTGATCACGCATTGATCAGGCCGACATTGATCATATCGACTGATTAAACTGGCACTGATCACGCGCTGATCAGGCCGACATTGATCATATCGACTGATTAAACTGGCACTGATCACGCGCTGATCAGATTGACTGATCAGACCGACACTCATCACACACTGATCAGACCGACAGTGATCAGATCGACTGATCAGACCGACACTGATCATGCGCTGATCAGAGCGACTGATCAGACCGAAACTGATCACGCACACAAATTTGTCAGACGCCTGACTGCGCAAAACATGGAGGAGGTGCCTGACTGCGCTGGACGTGGAGACGCCGCTGCGCCCGATGCACTGGACATCTTCCCCAGAAAGAGAGCAGGCCGCGGTCGTATCTGAAGCACGGCGCCGGGCCCAGGACAACCAGGACTCGCACCACACCTTGTAGACTGCGGATGACGTGGAGGACATGCTCCTTTATGAAATCCAGGCCTTTCATGACCGGGCCAGTCCGGTGGAGAGTAAGGGTGTGCGTGTATGTGTGTGTGTGTGTGCGTGTGTGTGTGCGTGCGTGCGTGCGTGCGTGCGTGCGTGCGTGCGTGCGTGCGTGCGTGTGTGTGTGTGTGTGTGTGTGTGTGTGTGTGTGTGTGGTGTGTGTGTGTGTGGTGTGTGTGTGTGTGTGTGTGTGTGTGTGTGTGTTGTGTGTGTGTGTGTGTGTGTGTGTGTGTGTGTGTGTGTGTGTGAACGTTATTCTTCGAATGGCAGAGGATGCCGCCGCTATTATTCGTCCAAACGCCGCCCTGTTCGATGCGAGCAGCTGCAGCTGTCCCCCTGCCACGCAGGTGCTGCTGGCCTACACATACGTGACACTGGGCCGGGAACAGCGCGGCCAGCAGCTGGTCTCCGCCCTGATGCAGAAGGCCAACACGGACGGACCGGACGCCCTCTTCTAGGAAGGCGATCGCCGTTCCATTTGTGAGTGAAGTTTCCATCTATGATAACTCCATCTATGATTGATGCATAGTCGGCGGGAGCTCGGCGTTGTGATGCCACATGGGGGGGGGGGGGGCAATTGCATTTCCATCTGTTAGCGATGTCTTTTCTGAAAGGTCGGTGTCTTTTCCTTCCATCAGTGGTGTGGTGTTGTGGGAGTCTTGTGGGTGTCTGTGGCAAGTGGCATCAGCTGAGCATGCAATTTCATCCTTGGGTGGCGTCTTTTTTGGGGTGGTGGATGAGCGCAGACTTATCCGCGAGTTCTGTCATCAGAGACGATAACAGTAGCACCATTTCTGGGTGACATCATACATTGCGGAAAACTAGCGCCAACTCTCTTTGTGATTGACATAATTTTTTATGGCACCGGGAATATTTTATGTTCTCTTAAGTCGGGGCTCCATCTGTTTGGCAGTCATGTGGCACGTAAGATCTTGGTTCCATCCGGTGATAAACATTGAGGTAATGGTGGATATGGTCCTGCCTCTGGTCCACAGACGGCGGCAGTCGGGCGGTGGACATTGAGATGACGGCATACATGGTGCTCTCCCTGGTCCAGCTCTCGGGTCAGGAGAACATGGAGCAGGCGGCGCGGGCCGTCAAGTGGATCAACAGGCAGCGTAACAGACTGGGCGGCTGCCTCTCCACACAGGTAGGCAGTGCATGCGGTTAGCGTCTAGGGCTGGCCCCCTTGCTCTCCGACATCAACTAAAGAGCATCTTTCAATGCAGTGAGGCGTACGTGGGCGTGCAGGCTGTAAGACAGCAGTCCTGTTTCATCAGAATTGCTTTGGATAAGTCGACAGCAAGTGAGGGACAGTCTCCATATAGCGAGTTAAAGCGATGGCGTAGTATACGAAACAGTGTGGTGGCTGGGGGTAAGATTGGCGCAAGAAGAAGGGGAAGGGGGAAGGCAAGGCAAAGGGAGCAGTTGTCCTTCCTTTGTCAGCAGGGGACGGGGGGGGGGGGGCGGGCAACAGTGTGTTGTGTTCCCCCAATCAATTTCTTGGACACACTTTTTTCGAACTAAAGGTATAAAAAATGGTAACCCGTAGATTACCAAAATTTAGATCCAGGATGCCCCATGTCTGACGTCGAGAGCATTAACTCCAGCTGGGACGACCATTTGCTACATCAAAAGACCCGTTTTCTGAGCAATGAAGCATTATTAATAAGGAAACCCGTGCTTCAGATTAGTAGGTTCCTATCCGGGCTGGTGAGGCTGGCGTTTCGGGCTAGGGGCCCCTGTTCTGGGTTAGAGGCATCTTCTATGTTTAGGAGGCCCCATTTCTGGATAACGAGGCCCCTTTCATGTATCAGATGGCCGCAGTTCTAGATCAGAATGCCCTGCGTTGGGATAAAGCAACCATTTGACTAGACTGGGGTCCCCCCTCATGAATCGGAAGCATACTGATTCTATTAGATTAGGATGCTCTCTATGCGTCAAGAGACCCTTTCTGGAACGAGAGGTCCTGTTTTAAGATAGCGAGGCCCTCTACTAGATAATCGGAAGGCCTTATTGTGGATATTATTTGGAGATAATATACGTAACAACCTGAAAAGGGTGCACATTACCTCGGTGCCCTCCCAATTCAGTACAGCGCTTCCCAGAAGGCTTCCCTGTGAGGGAGCCCCCATGGCAAATCCTTCCCCCACCCTAACTCGAAATCTGAGATACTGCCTCTATCTGAGGGAGCAGCTTCCGGGACAGCGGGAAAGTAGCGGGTGTTAGATAGGATGTACGTAGGAAGTAAGATGCCTCCGATACTGCAGCGGGTGAGCAGGTCATAGACTCCGAGATAGTTGGGAGGGTGGGTAAGATGGCGTATTAGTGGGCGGGAAGAGGCAACATAACGGTGTTTCTGTGACATAAGGGGTACAGCTCACACGCCTGTTGAATTTGGTGCGTGGCTGCCACAGAACACACAGCTTGACCAAAAACGAACGGAAAGGAAGGTCGCAATATATTGGAAATCTAGGTGATCTTCCTTTAATTGCCCCAGTTCGAGACAGGTCGGTGTTATATTGTTCTCTGAGTTGTATTTTTTGTTAAACACCGTTGAACAGAAAAACCAGAGCGCGTGCTTTTCGGTGTTTTGAACGCATTGTCTATGTGCCATACACATAAATACATCAATGTGTATTTCTATAGTTTTTGATGGCACTTTT